TTCATGAAAAATAAGCCAAACTACGTCCAAATAAATGAGAAAGGAAAAACAAAGTTGCCGACATTAACTCCAAATTTCTTGAATTTCTGAAGCTTACAGGTAATTGCTGTAAGAAACTGTTCAAATTCTTATATCCACAGTTAGCATTAAGGCAGCTATCAGAAATCTGGCATTTCATGGTATGGGAAAGACAACCCCCCCGCCAGTCACCTCGACATCTCTCCTTCCAATTCTATCACAAGGATCCCCGCCACCTCCCAGTGCCAACAACAACCTTGTTCCCTCCCCTCTTCTTTAGTAAGGAAGCCAATGATGCCTTTTCCTCACATTTTTACTATTCATTTCCCTCTACATATGTTCCAAAATTAACGTTATCCCTTTGCTTTTGCACTTTAAGTTTGTTCACCAAAAGTTAAATGGCAGTGGTTTTGCACTGCTGTATCCTTACTAAAAATCATTCACACACAATAACGTAATGGCAGGAACAGCTTATGCCTGGGTCTAATCTTAAACACTGGCTTCCATGTAACCACTAGAGAAGACAAAGGAGGAAGTGACCCACTGCTCAGAGCAGTCACTCCTCACAGGGCTCTTGGCCAACTGAACCCACAGATCTGCTCCAGACACTTGAGAGAAACTAGGCAGACAAAACTGCAGTTCAGGAAGTTAGGACCACATGCTGGGTGACGGCTGCCAGCCAGGGTCTTATCCCCACAAAAGCTATGCATAGCTTTTGATACTATCAAAAACTAGTAAAAAAAAGCTAGATGATACTATCCATCTACAGATGGGACAGTGATAGAGGTGAACTGGTCATACAAGGTCACAAAGCCAAAAAGTCGAAGCACCAAGAGTCCTCAAGTCTGTCTGATCCTAGGCCCAAGCATTGTCCCAGGATACATAACACAAATGTTCCTAGGAAGATGAACACAAAACCACCATAAAGTTGGGCAGCAGGGACTTGGTTAGAAACAGATATGCAACTATGCAACTATTGTCCTTAAAAAAGGAAACCGCATTCCACTACCTACTTTTTAGGCAAAACCCAACCAATTTTCTTGAGGGGGTGGGGAAAAACCGGCTGAGAAGGACAAAGAAACTTCCTGGGGTGATGAAAACATTGCATGGAGAGGAGTGTGGTTGCAGGGATATTTGTGCTCCCAAAGAGGTCAAACCGCACGCGTGAGGTCTGTGTGTTTCACTACATAAAAATTACACTTCAATCCAAAAAGAAAACCTGTGTGTGCAGATACATACATATCTAAATCTGTATATGATATCTATAAATTATGTCATATAAACCAGATTAAAAAATAACACTCGTTATTTGGAATCCCAAATTCAGCTAAAGTTAATTATTCAGTATCAGAACAGGTAGAAGAGAGAGAGCTCTTAGTTCCAAACTCCCCCATTCAGTGGGGACTGATCTCAAAGAGCCCTTTGGTCAATTTTTCTCTGCATCCAGGTAGCCATTAATTATCCCACAAATAAAATGTTAAATTATTTTTGTTAACCTATTTTGTTTTAAGCATTTTTAACAGAATTCTAGATTCTTTAAAAAATCTGAGAGATGCTGGTTAAATTGCAGAGACTTCCCTGATATTAAAAAAATCAAACAAACAGATAACAAACAGATAAAAAACCAGCCCTGGCTGAGTAGCTCAGTTGGTTAGAGCATCGTCCTCATCTGCAAAGGTTGAGGGTTCAATCCCCAGTGAGGGAAGATACAAAATGCAACCAATGAATGCATAAGTAAGTGGAACAACAAATCGATTTCTCTCTCTCTTCTTCCTTCTAAAATCGGTCAATAAATTTTTTAAAAATTAAGGTCTCAAATGCGTATGTTTCCTTTGCACAATAAATTTGTTTCTAAAGCACAAGTGAGCTGTGTTTCAAAACAAATAAACCCTGTGCCTATTAATACTCTGCATTATTTTTTTAATTTATTTATTTTTCCAAGTACATTTGTCTCTGCCTTATTAATACATTGTCTCTGTATTATTAATACTCTATTGTTACAAGAATATAACATGCTTAATAGCCAAAGAGCTTATGAAAAGCAAAGTTCAAAGAGTCGGGCTATAGTTATTATTTTGCCAATTATCAATTTGTCAGTGAAAGTTATTTTTTAAAATGTATAATAAAAACATTTCAATAATTTCTCCAAGTATCCACTATCTAAGGAACTTATTTTTCTTACAAACCAGTAATAATTTAAAGTTGAAGGCAGGTGCTGTGGTGGAAGAGATTTAAAATTCAGTTTTTCCATCAGAAGAACAAGTTTTCTACGCTGGTGAGAAATGGGCACCATTAATTCACTCAACAGGGATGGAAAAAATATATCCTCTCTTTTCCTCCTAAAAGAGCATACATGGTCCCAGGACACAAGCTAAATTTGCCTAGATGCTTGGGTGTCCTTGGGAATATTTAACTTTCTCTAGGTTTGCCAAAGAGAAATACTTTTGCCCTGTCAAGCAAGCAGTGAGCTCCTTGATTGTACCTTAAAGGGAATGAGAATGTTTCGGCTCATTTGCATTTTAAAGGGTACTCTTTCATGATCTTTCACACTTGTAATAGATGTCTAAACCGTTAAATTACTATTTCTTTTCTTAGCCTGAAAGTCGATGCAGATGAAGAGCGTGGCCTCTCCCATTGTTCTTTACCCTAAATCGGTCCCTGAACAATACTGACAGCTGCTATCAAACCGGGCTGCATTTACTCTGCGCGCAGCTGCTGCTTGTAGGAACAGACAGCCTCCTGGAGCCTCCTCCCCTCTGGGGAGACAGGTTGACACACTGCATGTTCAATGAAGGGGTTCAAAGGTCCACTGAATTGTCAACCCAATTTTATGCTACTTCGATTTTTCAGGACTCACGCAATTCCTTTCAAGCAAAAATCAAGCATATGCCAGTGCATGAAACTCATGGTGTGGGATAATTATTGATCACTACAAACTTTAAAAGAGCCTGACATAAATTAATATACTGATTCAAAAATTACAATTATAAAAACCAGTGTGCTGAAAACATGCAATTGGCGTCTTGTGCTGGACCCAATTCACTGATTTGGGTTATTGTTGCTAGCTAGCAGAGCTAATCTGCCTTTCTAATCTCCACAACATGTTTCCTGGACTAAAGCCATTCATAAAATTAACGATTCATCTGCCCTTCTAAAACTACCTGCTATTTTTGTTTTCTGATGCTGCTCAAAATGAGTATTACCTGTCAACATTTGGTTAATACAAATTCCTCCTTTCTAATGTGTCTGACTGGGCAGTGCCTTTGAGAATTAAAAATAAACATTTTGCCCTCAAGAAACAATATGTAAAAATTTAGAGCCTATTGGAAAACAAACATGTTCCACAAAGTTTACCAGGGCACTTGAGAACTGCTTTGCATATGTTTTCTTTTAATCAAAACAGGCTTTTCCATCCTCATTCATTAGGGTTAAAAAATTCTGTGCTCAAGCTACAAGTACAATTTGCTATTAGTCTTTGCTAATCAAACACGGTACATGCAAAAGTACCAGTGAATATTTGATTTGATCTCCAAAATAAAGCAATTCATTACACAAGAAAAGGGTACAGAAGGCAGCAGACAAATGCAGATGTAATTGTGTTTTTTGTTGAATGTGATTAGAGAGCCCACTAAGTAACAGTCAAAAATGTGATACTAAAGGGGGAGAAATGCAGAGCCTGGACCTGGGGGGGAGTAGGAGAAGGGGAGAATTGTTTATGCAGAGCTAAGCTGTCAAGTGTAATAAAGCAGCTTGAATAAAATTTAAGCTGAAAATCCACTGAAGCTCCCCATCTCAGGGAGGAAAAAGCTATTAAAAGGAAATGAAGGTCACCCTCCCAGTTTATTTCACCTAATTGACTGCCAATAGCTTACCACAGGCAACCCGACTGCAGATCTGCAATTGAGAAACTGATGAAAGGAGAGTTTTCAAGCTGAGGCTCATTCTTTAATCCTCCTTGGCTCTTATGTTTTTTCTCCATCTCCAGTTGGGATGTAATTTTAAACCCTGATGGATTAACTGGTTCCATTGTCTGTGGCCGTCATTGGACTATAGCACTCTTAATCCGTACAGCAGCATGTCTAATTATCATTACAAAGTGTCTGAGGGAACTATAAAGACCAGCAGGGCATCTTCTCACAAGCAATTAACATAAATTGATAAATGAGTGATTTGAATCTGCTCAAGGCACTCACATATGAATAAAATCAGAAAGGATGGTCCCTTGTTTCAGCTACTTCTTTCACTTAGGCTGGAAAGGCAGAAAACCTGAGAACCATCCTGGATCCCGAAACGGGGAGAGGGGGCTGGGAGATGAACTCATGCAGGGGATGGACCACAGGGTTCACCAAGCTCATTAATGCTGAGCAAATGACTTGTGATTGACAACCAGTCGACAGCAAGGAGCACTAACTGAACTCAACATAGGAGAGCAGAAACCTGGTGAAAGGCTAGAGGGCACTAGGGCAGACAATTATCACTTCTTCAACAGCAAGACAGAGTTCTTTTCATTGAGATGCCACTTAAAACTTCATGAAAGAGGCACAAGAAAGAAAGACCAAACAGTTATATAGGCTCCAATACCCTAGGAAAGCAAAAGGCAAAAGCAAAGATAACTAAATGAAATGGTCATTATTAGACATGTCTTGACCTCACTGTGATCTAAAGTTATAGAACAGAATAAGGAAGAGTTTAAAAATCTAATTTAAAGCTTTTTCTTTTAAGCTGGCTATGGAGCAAAAGTGGTTAAGTGTCACAGAATAAACAATATTTCTTTTTCCATTAAAATGTAGATTGATTTTTCTTCTCCTATAAATGTTTCTCCTATCATCTCCCTTATGCCAATCTCTCTTGCCCTACACACCTTAGCTATAACTGAAGCCCCCCACAACCTTATCAAATAGGTCAATGTTAAGCTACACAATACTTTATATATACAGATTAAGCCATCAAATTAGTAAGAAATGAAAGCTGGTTATACACACTGTAGGAGGTAGACCTGGTAGGCCACGTACCCCGATGATGGCATTCAACTCTGCCATGGTCACCTGTTTGGCACGTTCGACAGCCTGCGCCACCTGTTGTTGATGCTTTGAAAATAAGGAGAAGAGTTAACAAGGCACTGTACCTTCCAATGATAACAACAAAAAGACAAAGCCACATGCAATGCAGACTCAAGTATAATATGGATATATATTCAAAGTTTCCCAAGCACACATTTCACAGAACACATGTAGAAAAGAGAAAGGAAAACAGAACAGTGCTTCCCTTGTTTCTAACCAACACCAGTCACCACTTCACTTCTGATGGAAAAATTAGACTTGGAATGGTAGAAAGTCAAAAAGGGTATCCACCTGGCTGGTGTGGCTCAGTGGACTGAGTGCCAGCCAGCGAACCAAAGGGCCACCGGTTCAATTCCCAGTCAGGGCACATGCCTGGGTTGTGGGCCAGGCCCTCAGTAGGGGATGCACAACAGGCAACCACACACATTGATGTTTCTCTCCCTCTCCCCCTCCCTCTTCCCCCTCTCTAAAAAAAAAAATATATATATATATATATATATATATATTTTTTTTTTTTTAAAGGACATCTAAAATGGTAGCCCAAGGCTTCAGAAAATAAATAGTATGGAATGTGGAAGATCACCCTGGTTAATGGAAGAGGTTCTGATGAGCTTGAGCAGGTGAACTTTACAGCTGCTTTAAATTTAAACATTAAATCTTCTATCACTTCTCTGGGCAACAAATCTCAGTACACGAGTAGTTTTTACAAACTGGGAATTTCTCTCCTATTTAGCCTTTAGATATTTCGTCCTCCACACAAAAGAATGGGGAGGCCTCCACTCTTGGTTCGCAGGCTGGAAACACTCTGCATACTTCCCAACTTCTACCCATAAATGAAAAGAAAGCCACACCTGTGCTTTGGGAGGCACGAGACAGACCACAGCAGAGACCATAATTACTCAAATCTAACTAAGATTCAAAAGGCCAACAAATCTAAATTGTAACATAAAGTAAAAGTTGTGCTGAACTAGCCTGCTAAAATAGCAGAGATGGCACTACCCAGCACAGAGCAGTAGATGCCAACAAGAGCAGACACAATAAATTCAGCTCCAAGTACAATAAAGTTTTCACTCTGTCTCAAGATATATGCATCCTGTACACACTTAAAACAGTTTAGCATTTAGCTTGTATCCAAAAGTAAGGTAAAATTTAAGGCCAGACTAAAATACACTGGTTTGGAGTGAATCTCATAGATTACTGATATAAAGAGCTTTTCCCTCTCAAAATATTAAAGTTAAATCTCTGGAGCTTTGTAACTTAATAAAATGGCTTATATATGTATATGAGACTGTAAGTTAAGGTAACATGAACACTTAGTCCATCCCTAAGGGTACTAGCATCTGCTCCCTCCATGGACAGCATTAAGTCAACCACTGTACAAGAACAAATGAAATACCTGCTTCCGTGGTCAAGTCAACCCTGATGGAACCATTTTTAAAACTCAGTAAAAAGCTCTCTATAAAAAGGACACTTGGAATCATCAGTAGCTATTAAGCGTATACTCCTCCTCAAAAAAAAGAAAAGCTTTGTTTTTTGATAGTCATTTTGCAGTTTTCCAAAGGAAAAAATTAATTTGAGGTTGAGCTACTGCCACCATTTCTACAGTGCCCTCGGATCTGTTAGATGGAATAGCAGGGGGTTTACACACCACAGCTGTAACAGATGTTCTTCACACTTGTTCCTTGTGATAAAATTAACATCTTAAAACTAGCTAATTTGCAAACAGAGAAGCAACATAATTGCACTTTAACAGCTGAACAGTTTTACTTACTTCCTGAGACAGAAATGGGATGACTTGTGCACAAATCGTATTCAATCTCTTGGCGATTTCAGTCTATAAAGACAAAGCCATATAAATGTTTAGTATACACTTCATAATCAGTTCAGAAAGATAAAACTTCATACCCAATACTTTAGCCTCCCACTGCCTCACACTTGAGGACATGAAATTACTTTACCAGGCTACCTCACTAATATTTAGCTTGAGATAAACAGTAGATATTAATCCCACTTGCAAAGTAAGACATAACTGCACGCTTTATTGGTCACTTAACTAAGAGATAATGAGCAGTTTAATTGAATTGGAAAATCTACGTGGTATAAAGCTATATAATCATTTAACCTGGTGCTTGCAAACCCCTTCATAGATTTATTCAATTATGGCGTTCCATGGCACATTTATGTAGTTTAGAGCAAGTTCATTCAAATGAGTGTCAGAAACCAGGGAGCAGAAGCACCATCAAAGCAGTCTAGCTGTCAAGCTAAGGTCTAGAGTGTGAGTCCAGAAGAAAGAAGGCCACAGACCTCTTTCCACCTGTTCGAACTCTAAACAAGCCAAGAAAAGAATGCTAAAACAGAACTCAAAGAGGGAGAGTCAGGTCAAGACATTCTGAGTGTCTGTAAAGTTTCACCACAGTTCAGCATCATTGGGAAGACCTCAGTGACAGGGCCCACGTTACAGCTGAACATAGCAAAACATGCCCTGAGTGTCCGCAGCTTGGGCTGTTCTAAAGAAAGTAGGAAACATCACTGCTCAGCTCCAAATCTACAAGATCCTTCTGGTACAAGGTACAATCCGGCAAGGAAGAGAATAAAGGGTGTCTGCTTCCAGCATAGGGTAGGATCCACCTGCCTGCTCCACCTCCAACAACCTCCAGCAATGCAAAACAGTTCTGTCTTTCTCTAACTCTGAAGAACCAGTTCAGCCTTTAAAAGAAAAAAAAAAAAAAGTCATCTAAAAAGAGTGCCAGGAATGACCTTATTTATTTCACTGTTTTCGGTCAATGTTAGTGAAGTTGGTAAAGAAAAGGATCATGAATATAAAATTATGAAGCACAGAGCCATGCCCTTGAGAAATAGAGAATGGAATATGACAAAGTAGAACCTTCAGAAACCATATATTCAAGTATATAAAAGAGAGCTGCCTTTTGTCCTCTAAGATGGTTCCATTTAACTGAGCAACAAGTCCTTTGGTTTGATGGGATTGGATTTGAGCCTGCCCAATTCAATTCTCCCTGACCACCAATGAGATAGGGTTCCAGTCTGAGCCTCGGAAGAAATGTAGTACTAGAAGGGGAAATGACTGGTGTAGAGAGCCAACTCATGACCTTGCTTTAACCAGCAGGGCAAAACAGATATATGGAAAAGGATGCAGCTGTACCAGGTGCAAAAACAGAGCTGGGCCGCCCCACCCAATTCAACTAATCATAGCCACTCACTCAAGCTAACTCAAGGTCATAGCTCTCCTTTAAAGTACCAGAAGGCTTCCCTTTCCTTTGCATCAGGGTTCGGCACTGTATATTTGGTCCTATGATGGGGAGTGGGAGGGACCCAAAAGAAACCAGAATTATCTTCTGGAGGGAGGGTCCCTTGCAGTACAGGCTTCCCCCACTAGGTAAATGTTCTAGGAACCCATCTGTATCAGTGTACCAGCTGGCACTGTTGTTGAGAGGCTGCATTACACTTCAGTGATTTTTTTGGAAGGCTCTTTCAATGCACTTGCCCATTTCATGAAGGATGATGTACAAGAGCACCTGCCCACACTGTGCTGAGTGTTCAACAGTTTTTGACCAAAAACCAGGATGACCCCCTGTGCCCCACACTCCCTATTCACCCGATCTTGTCCCAACTTTTTGTTTCCCAGGATAAAAAAAAAAAGTCCTCGAAGGGAAACATTTCACTGATGTGGAAGAGGTGAAACAAAACACATCAGAAGCACTAAAACGCACCAAAATCTAAAGTTCAAAAACTGGTTTTGAGCAGTGGAAAAAAGGCTCAGTAGGTGCCCTGCATCAAATGGAAAAGCACTTTGAAGGTGACTGAAGTTTAAACACATAAGAATAAATACATCATTTTTTATAAATAAATTCCAGGGGGGTTTTTTGGTCCTCCTGTATGTAAAGGAGTAGGGATGCCTTTTGTGAACTCTTAGGCCCTTGTCCTCCAACTCTCTACCTACCATAACTCCCCAAAAACATTCTGCACTTTTCCCCTTCTCCAAAACTCACACTTACGGTTCCCACTCTTAAAAATGATTAACATTCACTTTAAGCACACATCAAGGTCTGCCATCTACAGATAACCCTGAGTAACATTTTGGTGATTCTGGGAAGCATCATTCGAGTACTCAACAAACCAAGAGTGGAGAGAGACACTTTTATACCAAGAGGCTCCATTATAAATTCTGCCTTTCTGTAATTTGTTATTTCCACAATGAAATGCCATGGACACCCTCACATTCAATAAATAGAGATATGAACAAGGACATCCTTGATGTATTCCACATACAAGCCTACTGGAGTTTAAGCACCTCAGATATTTATGTTTCATCTACTACTCCACATTTACAAATTCTATGTTGAATAACCCTCTACATAGATCTCTAAAAGGAAACCCTAGAACTGAAACTGCTAGGTCAAAGTATATGCACATTTTAAATTGGAATGGATGCTAATAAACTGCCCAGCAGTAAAGCTTACCAATTTATATTATCGCCAGTCTATAAGGGTGCATGCTCTCCCACAGTGTCAATATTGGGTTTTGTTGACCTTTTAAAAAATCTTTATCCATCTAATAGACTTTAAAAAATGACCTCACTGTTATTTATATCACGCAGATTCTTCAAAAAATTAAACATTTTCATATATTTACTGGCTCACTGTATTTTTTTCCTTTCTCTGTTTTTCCTTTGGTATTTATTCATCATTGTGTTTTTGTAGTAGTTCTTTCCAGATGACAAATATTGACTCTCTTCCATAGTTTATCCAGCTTACCATCTGTCTTTCTACTTTACTTACTATAGATTTTTTTGCTATGCATTACTAAGTTTTTATGTGGGTAAACTAAAGAATAATGTTTCTGTGTTCTTGGCTGTTGGGTCACAATTAGAATACTCCAAAATTATAGATCCCATTCTTAATCTTCGTCTAGTGCTGCTATGGTTGTACTTTCTATGCTTAAGTACTTGACCTTTATTTTGGTCAAGAAGAGATGATTTATTTATTTAATAATAATATGTGACTTTAAGGTAGAACTGATTTTAACTGTCAGGAAACACTGAAGACCTGGCCTAAAGGAAATGAACTTGTAAACCTTTAATAATATTAGTTATTTAAAGAAAAAACACAAGAAGTACATATTAAAGTGTAGACCATATAAATTGGGTTAGAGTAGGTAAGACAGAAACAGGAGGAAGAAGGTTAAAGATCAAAGCTCAAATTGATGAAGAAACATCAAATGCCATACCATCTGTCCTGGGAAGTCTAAATAAATGGTCTGGAGAAGAAATGGAAACAAGGACAACAGAGGAGGACTTTTATCCCAGCTGTCTCCTCCCTCTGCCAGGTCTGACAAGTGAGCTTGATTCTGAGCAAGGAAGCCTAAAGTCAAGTCTTTCCCCCAGTTTACCCAGAAATTCTCCGAGCTGCCCTGGCTCCTCCATAAAGAGACTTCTTACCTCCAGGCAGCCTGAATGAGGATATGACTTGTTTCCCTGACAGTGCTTTCTTTCTGAGTTCTAAAACATCACCACCACCCTAGCAGGGTTTCATAAATGTTTTCCCCAGCCATTTAAAAAACTCTGAAAAGTAGCATGAAAACCAACATTAATTCTTAAGTAGTATCTCTTGCTTCAATGCAAGACCTTTAACTGAACACAAATTAACAAGTAGTGTTTTCCACCCAATGCTTCCATTCCAACCAGAGTTTGCAAGCAGGTTAAACTGGATATTTGATCCTTGCTTAAGCAGGTATTAAGAAAGTTCTATAAGCTCCTCAGGCTGCCTTCTACCTCTTCAAAGGCTAGACAACTCCAGAGGAAAAAAAACTTCAGGCTTAACTGTACTTTCCACCTGGAAATCATTTTCCTGATGAAAGCTGAAGACATTTGGTTAACTACTAACAGTCATAAATGCTTATAAGTAAACCTTCCTTTTGCCTGTATTTCTGACACCATGTAAGGAAACACATTTAGTCAATGTTCAAGAATTATGCCCAAACCAGATTTGCATGGAACCTTTGTGCCCAGAGACTTAACCAGCTGGGTGAAGGCCCCAGCAACAAGCCTGACCGGCATGGACAGACTCCACCCACTGAGGCAGCAAGAAGCAGGTGTCAAATTATCTGTTCAGAACCATCTTTTAAATTGATTTTCATCAAACTCAAATAAGCTCATATGCAAACGATAGCTTAACTATTAATAACGAGCTGTCCTCTTAACCCAATCCTTCAAGGCCTCCTTCACATCCACTTGGAGGCTGCCTTTTCCCCACAAGACTGGAAAACAAATTCTTCTCTTTACCCTTCAAGAACCTCCACAGCATTTGCTGTCTTTGGGTACACTAAGTCTACTGGTTTAAAAATCACACTTTACATAAAGCTTCCATAGGGATTCTTAACAGCTTCCAGCACACAAAGTCTTCTCCACACAATGAGATGGGAAGCATGAGAATAAGACTCCTACTTAACACTCAGACACAGCTCCTCACTGCCCCCCTGCCCCCAACACTGCCCCCAGGGCATCCAGTCAAGATGTTTTTAAGCAATGGTTCACTGACTAAAACAGAATCTCCACGCACCCAATGATCAAGAGGCAACCATATAAACTATTATACTAAACAGTGTTAGAGAATAAGGCTCTTTTTACAGTAATAAATCACATCTTATGTTAAAAAATGAAATTCAACTGAGTAAATCTGAAGATCTAATTGGCTTTATTCAATCAGTCATGAATCTGACAGCATGTGATCTAGCAAATAGAAAGGAGCTCCCAAGAGCCGTCCAAAGGAAAGGGGTTTAAAGGCAGAAAGGGGAAGGAAAAAGCCAATTATTAGCAAA